TATAAAGTAAAACGTTTCGTGGTGATTTCCGCATCCGTTTCTACTGATTATTGCTTTCAGTATTTCATATCTTTTATTCTTTATCACTATATAATCAACCCCGTATTTATAAACTGTGCGGAATATGATAACGATGTTTCTTTCAGACTCTATCTGATGTCATCCACTCTTTATCAAAGGCGACGTAGTTTATTAAGAGGTTGTTGGAATTCTACCGTTGGGACAGCAACAGTTTTGATTACTGTTATTCACAGTCTTTAATTATTCTTCCTCCCGTGTTTGTCCAAGAAGACTGCTGACCTTTTAACTGCTTTCATTAAACTGGGGATGACCGAAAGCTTCAAGTTTTATAATGCACATCCAGTCGCAGGCCGACCAACCAGCTTAATATCTACAGTCATTTAGGATACACACTTAAAGCTGGCTATAGTAACAGCGTGCAGTCTGGGACAGGAGGGCAAAAGGGTGTGCCCACATTCCTTTCTTGGACAGGTAGCTGCAAGCAGTTGGACGCCATACCTACGACCTGACTGCTGCCCCGTCTGCTCATCAGGCAAGTGCCATGTCCTTCCCCACGTCTTCTCAGAGGTTGAAGCTTAAAAACAATTTTTTTAGTCCTAATATGGCATACAACTAGACTATCGGAATGGGCCAGTACCGAACTTGTGAGTAGATGTAGGAAAACGTTTTTCTACCCTCATTTACAGTGTGTCGACCATCGAAAAAAATTTCTTGCACACAACTGGGTATCCAATTCGACTGGTCCACCGACTATTATGAAGTTTTACTAGTATCCGGTATCTTTGACGGTCATGACTGCCACCTAGGGAAGAAGACTGAATCGTTAGCTTTTGACAGCGCCCAAAGACACGGCTGAAGAACACATGACATGCCACTGCGAAACGTGAGAAACCTCTAGACGTCATGCACACATCGTGCCAGGGAATTCCTAGAAACCGAAACAAGGCAAATTAATGAAAATTTCAAAAATGGACTATTTGCATTTCATATGACACATGTGTGCCAATTTTAACAAATATATTGTGATATATTAGGTAAATATCTGATAATACTGATAACATTAACATTTCTATTCTTGGCTCCATTAGAAAAACATAGCTGTCTCTTTCTTTACGTTTTGAATTTGTATTTTTATCACTTGGATTTGGTGTTTCTCTAATTTCGCTTCAACAAGGTTTCACTATACATGTCTTTATTTCCTTTGTGCATGGCAAAAAATTGCATATCCGCAGAAGTGTCAAAAGATAAGTCGTCGGCGATAGTTAGTTACTGCTTATTAAGGAATGAAACATAATTATATCTCAGACTTATAAGTGGTCTTGTAATATATGGAGGGGCGGCTCCGATTTGAAGACAATTTAGGCAAGCTTCGTTAATTATTCTAATTGACTTGAACTTCAATTTTCTAATCCTCAAACATTAGCTGTGAGTGGCGTTGACAGATTTAGACATCTAGATTAATGTCTGACCGACTGTAGATATGCTAATGCATATCATGAAAACATCGAATGCTCTTCATCAATCTGGAGGTACATAAAAACGAGTTATTAACTATGACAGTTATGATAAACTGTCATAGCTATGACATAGTGATTAACTATGATAGTCACTACGTCAAAGATACTAGACCTATGCGGAGCTATATCTAACATTTTATATATCTACTTAAGTTTTAGGATTAAATTCACTCCGTATCTGCTGACATGCTTCATGACTTCAGAGGATGGATTGCATATAATTCGAACAGTTGAGAAAACTGCATATAACATGTTATGCGAAATAAATCTTTAAAAAACTATCATGATGAAGAATCGGCATGACCTTAAAATTTCATATTACCGCAAGATTTATAAAGGCGGAGTTAACGCTGAAGTGGAATTACGAAATACAGCCATTCAACGTTAACAGTCGGGTACATACAATGAAAATCGCACACAGCCACCAAGCGGAACCTTTGGACAGTCTAGCAACCGTAAAAGGGGGGGGGGGCAATTTTGCCCGATACCAAACCCGCTATTTTGTGGACACACAACAACAGACATGAGAACTTCCATGTCGAACGACCGCTGATTTCAACTCAGGTACCAAGAGAACCCTGGAACTGACTAAGAAGACTATCCACG